TTAGTTTGAGTTCAAATACACTCGAATGCATATCTGAATCCCTCAAACCAAGGCTCTGATACCAACTTGTAACGACCCAAAAATCACGACCAAAAATTTCTTTAAAAGCATTACTAGAATCATATTTATAAAAACTGTATCATAAGTCATAACATAAATTCTCGAGTATTAATTCAAAGCATAATATCATTATCAGAGTCGAACATTCCCAGGCTAACTGACTACGGTGTGTGCACTGCAATCTCCCCGAGCTCCTCTTTTGAAAACTGGGTACCTGAAACCAAAACTGAAAACCGTAAGCACGAAGCTTAGTGAGCTCCCCCAATCTAACACATACCATGCAAAAACATATAAAGCACATACTGGGCCTTGCCCACTGCATCGGACCAATGTCCGGACTAACTGGGGCCTTGCCCCCTACATCGGACCGAAGTCCGGAAACTGACTGGGACCTTGTCCCTGCATCGGACCGAAGTCCGGACTAACTAGGGCCTTGCCCCCTGCATCGGACCGAAGTCCGGAGACTGACTGGGACCTTGTCCCCTGCATCGGACCGAAGTCCGGGCTAACTGGGGCCTTGCCCCCTGCATCGACCGAAGTCCGGAGACTGACTGGGACCTTGTCCCCTGCATCGGACCGAAGTCCGGGCTAACTGGCTGAACATAGCATAACATAACATATCAACTAGCATGAACACATATACTGCATACTACATCGGGCCGTAGCCCGGAACACATAACACATAACACATAAAACATAGCACATAAATCCTGTCTGAGCCACGAAGGCATCAAACATGCTAACTACTGCATCGGAAACTACTGCTAACTGGACGGGCCGGCATTGTGGCCTTAGACCCGTCCCTACTGGAAGGAAACTCACCTGAGACTGCTGAACCCTACTGATAAATCTCTGGCTGCTACTCGACAATCCCCTGATCCACTGCTCCTCCAGCTCTCCGAGCTATCAATATACATATAACACTTAGTCTGACAGTCAACTAAGTCAACTCTGGTCAAAGTCAACCTTCCAGGTCAACCCTACTCGCCGAGTCTTCCTAAAGACTCGCCGAGTTCATAAACTCAGGGTCTTTCTTATTCGCGACCCGACTCGCCGAGTCAGTCCATGACTCGCCGAGTCCTAGACAATCTTCAACCAACTCGCCGAGTTGCTCATCCAACTCGCCGAGTCCATGCCTAACTTCATCCGACTCGACGAGTTGTTCATCCTACTCGTCGAGTTCCTCCTCATCTTCAAGCTACTCGCCGAGTCCACTCGAAGGACTCGCCGAGTCCAGTCGGTTCTACATACATGCAGAGGACCTTTGAGTCATGCATGGACTCCAAACTGTAGATCCACTCTTTTAAGGTCTATTCCTTACGTAAAGTTGCAAACTTTACGTGTAAGAAGGAGATCTAGGCAAGATACGCCATTAACTAGGGTGTAAGGCCAAGGGACTTCAAAATCAACACAATGACTGATACTTTATGCTTCTCCAGGCCCTAAAACACTTGAATCTGAAGTAGCAACTCCAGATCCGGCTTCTAACCCAAAATAATAACATTATGGCAAAAGAGCCCCAACAACCACACATAGATCTAGGTGCAAAAAGGGGTCCAGGAACTAGTTTATTACCTCCAAGTGCTCAAAATGAACTCACAATCCCAGATCTATAGCTCCTTCTTGCTCCTCCAAGTTCCTTCTTCCTTTTCCAAGCTTTAAAGCACCTTCCAAGGCTCAACTAGGAGATATGACGGCTAGGGTTTGATATCCAGGGCTAAAGAGGCAGTAAGGAACCCTGGGAAGAAGATTAAGACATTTATATAGGCCCCAAGTCCCGAATTTAGGATTTTCCACGCACAGACCAGACTCGTCGAGTCCTCCTGGTCGACTCGCCGAGTCGGTCACTTACTCCCCGACCCGGATCCCGCTCGGACTCGCCGAGTCCCCCTTAGACTCGCCGAGTCGACCCCTAAACTTAGGGTTTTCTTTCCTTTCTTGGTCTTCGAAACTTTGGGTGTTACATTATGCATATACAACTGATTCAGATTCAGATGCAGATAAATAATCCTATGGAGAAAGCATTATTGGGATTAGAACGTGAGGGAAACCTCATATCTAACCCATATCATCATTTGAAATATTAAAAGCAAACAAATATAAGCAATCATTTAGGTACTCAAGAGGCATAAACATTCAAACATTAGACATATCAGTATGGAAGCAGTCATAAAGCAAATACAACAATAGCTCAAACAAAAGCAGGAGCAAAAAGCGTCACTAATAAAACAACTTGAAGTAGTCAATCGAGAACTTGAAGTAGTCAATCGTGAAGAAGAACAGCTAAAACAAACATTACAAATTTTATCAGCCTATTCAGCACCCAAAGAAGAAGCAGCTAGCAACTCAACAACAAAGCAACCAAATGAAGAAATTCAAGAAATATCATCCGACGATAGTCCACCACATATAATACCTAAATTAGAAAAACAACCCCTTACATCCAATCCAGAGGAGTATCCACCACTTCAAGCAAATCATAAAAACATAAAGAAATGGTATGTGATATTCAACGGAGAAAACAAAGGAATCTACGATGATTGGGGAATCGCCAATTCGTATATTCTTGGAAAAAATTTCATTCATAAAAGCTACAAAACAAAAAATGAAGCAGAAGTTGCATACAACGAAGCATACAAAGCAGTAATAAGAGATAATGTTGAATGTTCAAAAACAATCCTTTTGCACCTCAAAAACCCATATCTATTTCCACCACACAAAAACCTATATCCATCCCAAAATCTCTTAATCAACTACATGCCAAAATTGCCCTTGAAGCCATTCCATCAACCAAAGAAAAAGAATCCACGAAAAAACCTACTCGCCGAGTCTACCCATGGACTCGCCGAGTTGATCATTCACATTTTCACTTTAAACCCTGAACTTTGCACCCCTGAACTCGGGATGTTACAGAAAGGAACAAGAAGATCCTCACAGAGCTGTCGAGAAATAGCAATGAAGAGTCGACTCTCATTGTCAGTTCCCTAATAGGGTTTATCAGTGACAAAATCTGACCCCTAAAGAGTTATTTCAAACTAAGAGATTGATCGACTGTGATCCAGCCGATGAGACTCCAAAAGAGCCACCACAACAAGTCAACAATATTCTGCAAGATTACAAAGAAGCTCGCAGTACCACGATGAATAGAAAAATAAGCAGCACACATATTCGTTTCAATTTGAAGGAGTAACAACGGAACCCTAAATCCAAAAGAATAACCGAAGAAATCACAATTTATGTAACAAACCTAAGGATTCAGAAGAGAAACCCTATATCGAACAACAACTGTGACGATCTAACCAAAAGAATAGAAAGGAAGAGAGGATTCAGATAATACCCTTCTTAAATTGACGATCGACTGAAGAAATCACCAACGAGCGTCGAAAGAGAAGAATCGGAGCCTGAAACCTCTGATACCATCTTAAAGATGTAAACAACTCAAGATCTTCCTAACATCATCATTTCATTCACTGTGAAACAGGTGGTTTACACGTACAGAATACAACTGAAAACCTCGCTACAAATACTCACTCACTCTCTAATATACAAAGAATGAATCATAAGAACAAATGTACAATCTACAAACCCTAATTCAGAACCCTGGTTACAGATCTCAGAGAGAAAATGAGATAAGAACTGAATGACAACGAATTAGCTAAAAAATATCTATTTAATATCTTTATATACAACTGGGTAAACCCGAATTAAATAGAGCTCCATGAAGCACTAGATGACCCGCGAACTAACCCAACACCTGAATAAATTACAACTGATATCCATATAGAATATATAAATTTACATAACACACCCTATATAAGAATTAATGTCAGTTTGAAATATTAAGAGAATATTTTTAACACACTTCTTAGGAGACATTTGAAACTTTGCAGAAACAATCCTCAAAGATGGAAGAAAACAAAGAATAAATGACGAAGGTTACCGATAACTTAGTAGTTGGTAGCTTTATCTATGAAATAATATGCACCTAAACAAATATTGCTTGATGTATGTAATGGTTTGCACTCGACCAAAATTTTCTCGTGTAGTGGGTGTTGTCGGTAGAACTATGAGCACTTGAAAGGGGCCAAATGGCTATTTCGCTACATGAAAGGAACTTTAGACGCAACCTTATGTTTCAAAAGGAAGAAGATCGTCCTACAAGGCTTCGTTGATGCTGACCTGGGGGGTTGTGTAGATCCAGGGAAAAACACAACATGTTGTGTGCTCATAATTAGGTGAACAACCATCAGTTAGATGTCCATATTATAGAACATTGTTTCTCTTTCAACCAACAAACATAGTATGTTATAACAAGCTGGCAAAGAGCTCATTTAGTTGAATAAGTTCCTATCAAAATTGGGAATGAATCAAGAAGATTGTGTCCAACATTGTGATAAACGGATATCAGTTCACCTAACAAAGAATCCATCTTTTCTGAAACATGTGACGATGATGTACTATTTTATTATAGATTGATATGTGAATGTACTCTTCATTTGAAAAGATCATTGGTATGAAGAATCCATCCAACATTTTTACCAAGGCAGTAAAGATGGAGAAGTTGAAGTTGTGTATGGCTTCAAAGAGCCTTCTAAATATTTAAAGCGAATGTGTAGACAATAGGGGGGGGGGGGAAGAGAGAGAGATAGAGAGAGAGAGGGAGAAAGAGAGAGAGAAAGAGAGAGAGAGAGAGAGAGAGAGAGAAGAATAGCTTGGATGATAACAAATTGGTTGATCAACCTCCAGGTGAGAGATTGTTGATTAGTAGAGCCTAATCTCAAGGGAAAAGTTGGTAGAGAAAAGCTTCGATAAGAAGCGAAGTCTTGACTTCGACCAAGGGAGAAGTTGTGAGGTGAAGCTTAAATGAAAGCAAAACAGTTTGTGAAGCGGCTAAGTAGGCAAAGCTTTGAGAGTGAAGGTATAGACTAAGTTAGAAGGAAATGAAGAGCTTTGAAGTGAAGCCAAGAAGCATAGTGACAGTGACACCAAAGCCAAGCACCAAAGTGCAACTACGGAGAAGCAAAAGTTATTACTTAAGATTCACCTTCGGTGATATCATGCTTCATCCGTTCAGTGATCGAGATGCAGTCCCTGACTATAAGCTTTGTTTTGAGCTGACAACTTGGAGAGTAAGTCAACCATCATGGGTCATCCTATGTCAAAAGCCCATTAGCCTAACCCAGGAGAAATTAGGTCAACGACTACTATAAATGAATCACAATTCTTGTAACCCTAAAAGAGAGATCATGACTTTGTAAAAATAGAAAATACATAAAGTGTATCACGTTGATTATCAATAAAAACAACTCTTTAGTTATGTGTGTAGATGTAGCTTGATTACTTTGGTCAAGTGAGCCACGTTAAATCTTTGATCCTTGTGTTCATTATTAATCTTTAGCATCTTTATTATTGTGTTTCTATCTGTTGAAGTCCATTAATCCCTAACATAATATACTAATCCCTAACATAATGTATGTTCTAGTGTAGTGACACAACTAGGATCAAAGTAAAGTGGTATCCTAATGTTTTTAGGGTAGCTTAATTTTTTTACGGGGTGCTTAGGTTTCCTGGGTTCGACTTTAAACCCAAATATTTATCAAATCCTTAGCTAACCTCAAGTCTTATTATATAAACAGGACCGTGAAAAAAATGTATATATATATATATATATATATATATATATATATATATATATATATATAAACTAATTCCAACAAGTTTAAATCAAATTTTGAAAACCAGATGTCAATGATAAACTTGAACCACACTTTAATGAATTAGAAATCTATATCAATATATGTTGTGTAAGGTATTTATTTAAATAATTTTCTTATATAAAACATAAAATGGAAACCATAGTAGAATATTAAACAATCTGAAAAGTTTAGAGAAAAAAGTTGTAAATCATCATTTGAAATGGGATACCTGGATTCTTTCCAAGATACAATGCTTATAAGTTATAATTATGAAAAAAAGAAAAAAGCCCTAGTAAGAGTCGAACTTGGGATAAAGGGCTTGGAAGACATGCGGACCTTACCACTTAATCTATAATTATTCCGATTTTAGTCTTTTGCAGTTTGTTTAATATGTGAATACCTGCATAATTAAAATGAAATTTTCCAAAAATAATTACACTACCGAAAAAAAAATTGAGGTCATCCCGGGCTACCCCGGGATCCCCTTGGATCCGATCCTGTTCTAGTGCCGTTATTTTATGAGGATGGTCCTATAATGAAAATAGAAAGTGACATGGATCACAAATGAATGTTTTTTTTTTTTTTCTTCTTTTTTTTTCTTATATGATGCTACATGCTTTTGTTGATTTTTAAAGAATGCAATGAATTTTCACATGAAATTATTGTGTTTGGTTACTAGATAAGAATGCAATGAACCTCTCCTTTCTAGATTAGCGTTTCGGTATATATACATGTTTGGTAAAATGTGTTGCTGTTTCTCGTAATGAATTTTGGAAAAGATATATCATGTTGCATATGTTTCCTCAAAACTTCATTGAATTGTTTATTGGTTACTTTGACTCGGGTCAAAGTCATATAATCTATCAAGCTCCATATTCTCAATTAAAACTGTGAACAAAATTCAAATGTTTATTGCTTAAGAAAACAAATAACCCCAATACAATAAACGGTTGGGACTATGCGTTTTTTCTCATAAATCTAAATAACGTTGACAGCTATAAATAAATAATCTTAACAAGAAAAAAAATGAACAAAAAGGTATTCGAAATTAATGGAATATCGATAGAAATATATTTTGGAAGTTATTATCCATTTCGATGAAGATGATCTCAAAATAAATTATGTAATAGAAGTGATTCATTTTGGTTGATGATTCTTGAAAATTGTAGGTTAATTTCAAGAATCATAAAACAAATAATAGAAGACAAGAAACATGATGGAGTTTATACTTGTTGACGATTCCTTTACAATTCTTTATGCTATCAAACAAAACCAACATGTAATCAATCTCATCTCTCTAATTTAAAATATAGTAAATCTGTCTACTATTTGAACTATAATACATATCTTTCTCTCTCTACATGCACCCATATCTCTTCATTTCTCTCTTTCTTCTTTTTCTCATGAACAATATATCAAAGAGAAAGAAACGTATATTAGAATTGGGATTTTGGGTTGTTTTCTTCATCGTCAAAATTGAATCCAAGTGTAGCAATGGTTGTGATCTTGCCTTGGCATCATATTATGTTGCACAAGGATCAAATCTCACTTACATAAGCAAAATTTTCTCTCAAACAATCCCCGAAATCCTTAGATACAATCCACAAATCCCGGGAGGCGATAGCATAGAAACTGGGGCCCGAATTAACGTCCCGTTTTCGTGTCTATGCTTAAATGATGATTTTTTAGGCCATACTTTCAAATACGAAACTCAAGTTGGTGATACTTATGGTAAAATTGCTAGTGAAGTTTTTGCTAATCTTACGGATGAGTATTGGGTCCAACGAGTGAATTGGTTTGAAGCCGAAAAGATACCGGACTTTGTTGATATTAATGTTACAGTGAATTGTACATGTGGCAACAAACACGTGTCAAAGGATTACGGGTTGTTTGCAACATACCCGCTTCGACCCGATGAAGATTTGGAGTCTATAAGTATAGAATCAAGTGTCCCGACGACGTTGTTGGAGCGGTTCAACCCAAGATCCAATTTTAGTGCCGGGTTGGGACTAGTGTTTGTGCCGGCCAAAGGTTAGTTAACTTTTAAACTCACTTATTAAGTGGATTATGAATAACATAGAAATTAAATATTCTCCTACATTTTATTCCTATTTAGCTTTTTACCATATTAAATGTTGACATGTGACACATTTAATAACATATTTAATAAAATTGAATTTATTTTAATCCACTTGTCACCATTTAATGTGGATATGAGCATAGTAGGAATAAAATGCAGGATGATTTTTAATTTCTCCATATTAATTAATGGGATTTATACATAATAAAGTTATATATATGTCCTTTATAATTTTGTTGGTTTCAGATGGAACTTTACTATAGAATGTTGCTTTGAATATTTGAGATTTTTTGTGCATAATATAAGGTTTTTTTTTTTTTTTTTTTTTTTTTTTTTTTTTTTGGAAAAAGGCATAACATATAAGTTAATGTAAAGTAAAAAAAAAAAAAAAAAAAAAAAAAAACACTAGAGGCTATTTCTGCAATAAGTAAAGAGGTTAATGGGCAATAATCTATGTCTAAATAATAACGTATGTTTTATAGATTTTGATTTTTGAACGAGATTAATGACCGTTATATATTTACATTTCAAAAAATAAATGTTATCGTATTTATAGATTTTAACTTTATTTATCATTTTAATCTGATAGAAATTGGGAGGAAAAGAAAGAAGACAAACATGAAAATTGTTAGTGTCTTAATATATTAAACCAAGTTTTTCTTACTTAATTCATTAAGTCATTAAGTCATATTGTCAAGATTAAGTCAAAAAAATCCATATATAATTGTCAAGATTAAGTGTTTTATTCATTAAGTCTATTAAATAAAAAAATGAAACCGATATGCAAAATAAATAATTAAAATAACACAGGAAATGGGTATAAACGGACAAACAATTTGATCATTATTTCTTTCTATGTCGTTTAATGATGCAAATTGACCCGTGAAATAAAAATTAAAAGTGCCCTAATAATATGTGACAAACATGTCAAAATATACAAAGATCATTTTAAATGTAAAAGATAAAGAAATAATCTATAAGTTTAATAAATAAAAACGTACATTTAAATTTAAAATAAGAAATTTGATATAAAAGTTAAATTATTAGGATAATTTTATCATTTTATGACGAGCATTAGTCTTTTGTTTTTAATTTTCTTCTTACTTGCTAAATTAAATCAAATGTTAAAATCAAAAGGATTATACATTATACATATCATTATTTTATATAAATAAACAAAAATAAAAATAAAAGACACTTCTTAGCAATTAATATTATGATCCCATTTAATGCTTCAGAGAGGAAAGAAACATTCAAACATAAATAAACTCCAAAAAGACGTCAAACCAGAGACTCATGCGTCCACCAGTTGACTCCAAAAAGACTTTTACCTGAAACAATTTCTCTACTTGGAGACCAAGTCGCCTCAACTGTATGTGTTGAAGATGATATAAACCATACTTTCTTGTTCATTTCTGTAGCTAATTCATCAAATTTTCCATCTGGGCATCAAGTTAATTTCTCTAGATTAGTAGATGATTACCTTAAACTAATGCCAAATCAACACAATTTCCCATCTTACGTCTTGTTAGTTTTTCCGCATTCAAGCTCCTACTGTTGTTAATTTCCCTGAATTCGTTCCATTTCTTACCATGAGAAAAATCAAATTTCCAGTACAGTTTTTGGTGTTGTTTCTGATTGTTAATCGAATCGAATCAAGATGTAAAAACGAATGCCTTGCTTTGGCTTCATACCGGATGTGGGTAAGATCAAACATCACATTCGTATCGCAAATCTTCTCCACCAAAATCCCCCAAATTCAAAGTTACAACCCCCAAATCACAAATCCAGACACAGTTGCTGAGGGTTCAAGAGTAAACGTACCTTTTTCGTGTTCCTGTGAAGATCGAGGTTTTCTGAGTCATCGATTCGTGTATAATGTTAGTCCCGAGAACACCTACTCGTGGATCGCAGGGACTGGCTTTTCGAATCTGACAACTGTAAGTATGTTGAGGAATTACAATACGTATAATGAGTTTAACATTCCTTTAGGTAGTGAAGTAAATGTTGTAGTGAACTGTTCTTGTGGGGATAAAAGTGTTTCGAAGGATTATGGATTGTTCATCACGTATCCGATTCAAAGTGGTGAGAGTTTGTCCTCAATTGCTAATGAAAGTGGGATTAACGAGAATCTTTTGAGGGATTATAATCCGAGATCGAGTTTTAGTAGCGGGGATTTGGTGTTTATTCCTGGAAGAGGTAAAACAAAAAAAAAATCCTTGATTTTGTCTCTTTTTTTTTTTTTTATTATTATTTTTGTTTTTTAAGAGGGTGATTGGTTTAGCTTTTTAAATAACTTCTGACTTTATCTTTTAGAAAAAATCTCAAAAAATGTTTGGTAAAGAAAAAAGAACTTTTGTAAAGGATTTTTCCCATAGAGTAATTTGAGTTTTTTTTGAAAAGTCACAATTACCTCATTTTTCCCAACTTTTCACCAGCTAAAAATATTAAATTACCAATATACCCCTCATCTACCTTAAACGCGTCTTTTTTTTTTGTTATTTTACATGTAAAAGTTAAACTAAGCATTTTAATTTTTAACTTTTTCCGTTCAAAAGTAAATCCAAACACATTTTAAAAAATAACTTTTGTAAAAAGTTCTTCTACAAAAAGAACTTTTACCTCACAAAAGCTAAGCCAAACACCCCGTAAGTTCATGCTTACCGGGCCGGATTGCACCTGCACCTGACCCAATGAAGGAATGTCTCGGTGCCGGTTTTTATGGAGTCTGGTTTAATAACTGAAAACATTATTATTTTATGATAGTTTAATAATTTATTAACACACGTTTTTACATAAAGCATTATTAATTTATTATATAATTTAATAACAGAATATAATATTGTTAAATCACAGATTAGTATTAGTTCTTCTAAAAATTTACAACGAAAGTGGTAAATATTAGTAAAAAACAAAAAAAATCATATTAATCATAATAGTTATATAATAATATAAAAAAATATTAAAAAAACTAGTAAACTAATAAAATACTTCATATATAGATTCTAAATTATAGACTGATAAAATACTTCGATTTTCCAAAAAAAGAATCCAAGTGTTGATACTTTCCAGAAGAAAAAAAAAATTATCCTTCGTATATCAAGTTTTCTTACCAGCACATAATATTTGAAAAACAAATGATACATAGTCTTGTTTTAATTTTTGTAATTACCACAGTTGAATCAAGATTACTGTTGCTTCTTTATCACATATAAAAGCGTAGACTTAAACTAACGGGGTGTTTGGCTTAAATTTTTAAAAGTCAAAAGTCATTTTTGGAAAAAGTTTAAAAAGTCTGATTTTTCCAAAAAAATTGATTATTCTTCTATCCAAAATTCAAAAATAGCTTTTAAAAGTTTTTTACCAAACATTTTTTACCTTTAATCTTTTAGGAAAATGACTTTTAGCCTTTAAAAACTAAACTAGACACCCCCTAAGGATGGGGAAATGGTGTTGAGCTCACCTAAGCTCACCAAGAATGAACAAAAACTTTTTCTGTGGTTAGGAAGTAGAGAAGAAGAGATGGAGAAGAGTGGAAGAAGAAAGAGAGAGTGGTTTGTGGGAGAAGAGTGACTTTCTCTTTCATCTTTAAGAGATTGTCGAGTTACAACACCGAGCTCATCATGTCGAGCTGAGGGCATGGAGTCTTAGTGGGGGATTTTATATGCACCAGATTAAATACCATTTTAAACGTCAAAATGGTTTTTACTTTGATTAACCCAATTTGACGGGGCAGTGTTGACTATAGCAACCGATTCGAATCATTTTAACAATTAGAATTATATCGTATTTACACTTCAACCCCCTTTAGGTTCTGGTATTCGTATAATGTACGAATTTAATTTTAATTTTACGAATAAAAAAAAATGATTGACCGTTTTATTAATGACACTTGTTACTTTTGCATATTATTTATTATATTCACAAGGATTGTATTATTAATATTTTCCAACTTTATATTATTTAAAAACCATTTATAAATTCTTTAAACATAACAAACTTTTTTAGTTACACCCTTAAACTTATAAAAGTTTCAACTAATACACTTCACTTTAGGTTTATAATTATTAACTTAAAATCAATATATTAATTTGAATGATTTCTTCAGATATATATATATATATATATATATATATATATATATATATATATATATATATATATATATATATATATATATATATATCAAAAAAACATTTTACCACAAAAGTTTTTCAAAAAATAAAATAAAAGTATATACCTCTAACTCGTGTAAACACTTTCATCAAAAGTAATTTAAAAAAAAAACTTGTATAATAGTCATAGTCTCATAATAAAAAACCCCTTTTAACATATATTTAACTTTTAATTTACACCTTCAATTATTGAATATTAAAATTGTCATATAATATACCAATTTTATTTTGTATACTTACGTAATTCAATTTATTTTTTATCATTACATAGTCAATTTATTTTGTATAATATCTCAATTTTATTATATGGATTTTAATATAATATTTATAACTTTAAAATTTTCTTTAAGTTTTAATATCATCAATATCAACCGGGCAACAAACCTAACGAACATGAATATAGATTTATTCATATTAGTTCATCTAACCTTAAACGATAAATAACGATCACGAACAATTAAGCGAACAAGAAAAAAACATAATATGATATTTTTCAAAATTATAATAAATAAAATTATCATTTTCATTTACCATTATACTAGTATTCATTTACACCGCATCAAAATAAAGATAGAGTATTTTTTGTAAATATAAAGTAAGTTAAATGACCATAAATATAAATATAGTTATATTATTTTGATTTGATTGTAGTTGTATTCATTTACACCACACTAAAATAAAGATAGATATCTACTGTCTATTATAAATGCATGATAAGTTAAAAGACTTAAATTTAAATATAGTTATATTATTTTGATTTGATCGTAGTGATATTAATTTAAATTCACTAAAATAAAGATATGATATTTATTGTAAATGTAGGGTAATTTAAGGGATCATAAATATAAATATAGTTATTACTTTTGCAATGAAATGGTTAGGTCAATTTCACAGTGATGAGGATAAGTGGAAGGGGTATAGAGTGTTATTATTTTTTAATTTTATGAATAATTTGTAAATAAAAATTAATTAAAATAATTAATAATAGCATAACAGTCTGTTTAGGTCGGACTAACCGCACATCAAAAAGATGTAATAGAGACCGTCCGAGTTAAGGAAAAAAAGTTAGGGACCAAACTCGTAAATTACCCCAAACCACGACTACTCGTGTGTATATTTGTGCATGAAAAAGTTGAAATATCAATATATTAATAATATATTAATAAGGAATGAAATTAATTTTTTTTAAATAGAGAAAGGTATAAACTGAAAATATATTTTAATTGTAAGGAGTAAACATGTAAAAGTGTTAAATAACTTTTAATCTTTGATAATATATTATAAAATAAAATATATAAAGAATGTCGTGAGATAATGTTAAGTGTAAATATCACTTCTTGGCTAAAACATCATCTCAATTTGGGTTTTATGTACGATGGTTTTTTGACCCAATTTTTGGGTGTGTTTAACAACACCCTGTCTTTCTATCGTTGCAATGTCAAGCCCTGCTCTGCATAGCCTAAGAACAGATGATTAATCTTAGGTGGTGTTTGTTTTTTCGAAACGAAAGTGTTTGAAGTCCGCAGACCACCTCTGCAACACTCTGTAACAGAAGAGGTGGATCAAATGACTGCAACATGTAATAAAAAGTTTGTTTGTTTTTTAACGTCTGCAGAGTGCTGCAATAAGTTAAAGTAATGTGTGAAGAAGTTTGAAGCAGATGATCTAGTGCTGCGTCACGCAACATACACACATCAGTTTTTAAGTTAGAAGTTTTCTGAAAAACAAATAGCTACGAATGGTCAAGTGTTGCGCGTGAGCTACGTGACGCAATAATAAGTGGTCAGAAGTGGTTTTTTAGAAAAAACAAACAACATCTTAGTATAAATGCAAAAATTAATCAAATTTTCATATATTTTTTTTAACTATAGCATCTTATTTTCATTTCACCATAACATAGATTGTATCAGCTTACAACAATGTTATCAAAATCCAAATACAAAACAATTTAGATTGCAAAAATTAGATAATAATTGATAAATATAATGTTCTTACAAGATAAAAAACTAAAATACAAATGCTATAATTAAGTTGTTTTTTTAAATTAAAATGTTTAATATTGAAAATACAATGTTTAATAACAAAAAAGTATAAATATAGTGTTACATTATACAAATAATTTAAAGTGCATTTCACAACAATGTTACCCCGGAAGATTAGTTGCGTAATTTACATGTTTATAACTAGCACTTAACTTTCTCCCGTTTTTATGTAATTACAGATCAAAATGGAACTTTTCCGCCTTTGAAGACAAGGTAAACTATAAACCTTGACTTTGTTCTATTTAGGGGCGTTTCCTCTATTTTTATATCTGATTTTGGTGTTTTGTTTTTGCAGCACAAAGGGTTGTCTTCTTTGCCTATTCACTCAATGAAATATATATATATATATATAATATATATATATATATATATATATATATATATATATATATATATATATATATATCTTTAATTAAGTTCAACTTCTAAGTCAAATGAACCAATTGTAGATGGTATATTTAAGTTAATCATGTGGTAGTGATGGTTGGAGCAGGTTTATCGGGAAGTGCCACTGTCGGAGCATCTGTTGGAGCAGTTGTCGGGGTTCTTTTGTTGGGGATTTGCATCTACTTTGGATTTTACAGAAGGAAGAGGGTTGCGGAAGGATCATTTCTCGAAGAAAATGCAAACGAACTTCATCTTGGTATTCTACTAATTCTATTAAGTCTTTTTTTTGTTCTATTTTTCGGTGCTTCTATTAAATTTCATATTGATCTAAAAGTATCTTCAGACCTCATTTCGGATTTAAGCGTTTAGGGACATAAATTTTCATTTAAAAACAAAGTCAAAAAAATATTTGATATGATGAAAGATACAAAAAAAGTAAAGTATTTAAATTATTTTGAAGGTAATACTAGATTTTTAACGATGTAATTTATTAAAATAAATAAAGCTTTACATTAAATAAAATTGATTGTTGGTACTTTTTTTGGAAACGGCAAACGAATTAAGTGGAGCCTACTCACAATATTTCAACGAGCACCCCGGGTTCGAGCTCCTTTACAGGCAAACCCAGCCCCCATAGGGATTTCCAGGGAAAAATTCTCCACATGTGGCACCACAAGAGCTAGTTTAAGGGATTGTTGGTACTTGACTAAGCATATTCATAACCACATTCAAATAACTAGTTAATCAAAACTCAAAAGCATGACACTATGTGATTTCAAATTTACCTGAATAATCAATTTTTCAAAACAAAATTTTACCAATATTCAAAAATCTTACTCATACTTAAATATTATTTGTGACAACATAGTACAACTATGTGTCAAAGTGAATATTTCATCTTGTTAGTTGTTTCTAGGAACATAAATGAAAAGAGAAATATTGTGTAAATCTATATGCATCCTTTTTACTAATTGTACCACTCTAAAAATATTTTGTTTTTTTGTTGTTCATTTTTTTTAGTTTATTTAGTTTTTTATTGTCTTTTTTTATTAAGATTATCTAATTTATTTGATTTATTATTATTATTATTATTATTATTAATAATGAAACAAAGCTTGTTTTTATTTATCATCGGATGTATTGATAAATTGATTATTATAATTGTGTGGTGCATTATAGGTATTATGCGTAACATAAGCTTCGAACACTATACAAGGTTTCCCTACAGTTCAGACTATTCATATGTTATTTTTCCAATTACTGCTATGTTATTTTTTTTTCTTTTGGACCATTCGTATGTTATTTTTCGGTCGAACTATCCTTGAATTATTTTTTCCTTTTGAACTATGACCGTGCTATTTTTTTTGGTCGGATTATCCCAATGTTATTATGTCCGAAAGGAAAAATAACACATTGATAGCTCAAATAAAAAAAATTAACACAGAGATAGTCCGAACAGAAAAATAACACATAAATAGTCCATACAAAAAAACAACATATGGATAATTCGATCGAAAAAAATAACACACAAATGGTCCAAACAAAAAAAAAATAACACAATGATAGTCAATTATTCGAACGCCTGTCAATTATTCAAACGATTTTATGTATATATATAAATTTGAACCACTCTTTGTACAACACAAATAAAGATAGGATAATAATAATAATAATAATAATAATAATAATAATAATATTAATAACTATATATATATTGTCCATGCTCTGCATAGGCCGTGTGCGTCTGATTTGAATGTCGTTTTTGTTTATAGATTAATAGACGTTGTTGTTGACTTTGGTGAAGGTAGGAAAATTCAAAAAAATTAAATATGATGACCAATATAGAAAAATTATAGCAAAAGAAGCAAATGACTGACGTAGAGAGTGAAAAACCTAGGTTTTTCCTTGTACAGTTCTTTTTTTTTTTTTTTTTGGTTTAATGAAAAAATATAAAAGTTTTGACTTCAAAGACGAAAAATGTCAAAATGGCTAAAGAATTAAAGGGGTAGGAATTAACAAGTTTTTAGAAAATGGATCAAAGTTGTTAAATCGTTAAAGCTTTGTGGCCAAACTCCGCATGAGCCGTGTGCGCCTGATTTGAATGTCGTTTTTGTTTGTAAATTAATAGATGTTGTTGTTGTCTGTTTTAGTTGACTTTGGTGAGGGTAGGAAAAACCAAAAAAATTAAATATGATGAACCATATAGAAAAATTATAGCAAAAGAAGAAAATGGTAGGCGTAGAAAGTGCAAAAGTGAAAAACCCGGGCCTTGCCCTAGAACGTTTGTTTTTTAAATGAAAAAATGTAAAAGTTTTGATTGTAATGACCTAAAGTGTCAAAATGAATAAAGAATTAAAGATGTAGAAATTAACAAGTTTTTAGAAAAGGGATCAAAGTTGTCAAACCGTTAAAGTTTTGTGGCCAAACTTTAAATATTAATAGGTTCCTAAAAAGTGTAAAAATTTTGATTGTAAAGACCAAAAATATCAAAATGGTTAAAGAATGATGGCCAAAACCATTCAAATTTACTATTCCTTATTTTGAATATCTTTAATCTATATATATATATATATATATATATATATATATATATATATATATATATATATATATATATATATATATATATATATATATATATATATATATTATATATATATATATATATATATATATATATATATATATGGGAAAAGTGAATATACCCTTAAGGGTATATAAGCTTAGGTACCCAAACTCACAATACTACGTCGTTTTGTATCATATAATACATTATAATTCTCCAATATTCTTATAATTTAACTTTTAAATTGATTTACTTCCATGATTTTTATAAATTACACATTTATCTTCATCTTACTTAATTTTCATTTTCAACTACAATAAATATAACCTAATATGTATTCGACAAAAAGATGTGACATAAGAGAAATATAATAGTGAAATTTCAAAAATCTTGAAATTAAATCAACTTAGGGGTTGAAGTTTAAGAACATTATAATGAATATATCATACAAAACGATGTATTATGGTGTGTTTGGGTACCTAAGCTTATATACCCTTAAGAGTATACTCACTTTTCCATATATATATATATATATATATATATATATATATATATATATATATATATATATAATATATATATATATATATATCTAAAGAAAACAACAAAAGGATAAAAAAATGGCCAAAATCCTTTTTGATTTGATCAATATTAAAGTAATTAGAGGGTAATTAAGGATTTTGAGTAGTTCAATTAGTAAAGAGGATACATATAGCAGAAATATTTTATGGATGCTATTATATATATATATATATATCCTTTCACTCACAAAAATTATCAAATTATAAGGTACATATTCACAAAGGGATACACAACAAAATTTTAGGGATACATTTAGAATTACCAATATTTTATTTGGTCATCTTAGCATTTCAGTCACATTTCACCTACCAACGAGTCAAACCCTTGACTCGTTTCCATATCAACATAAAAAGGGTAGGATAACATTAGTGAAGTGTCGCATGGACTTAATGCTCATTTTTAAATTCTAAACAACATTAAAGTCACAGACAAAAAAGGGATTAAATTAAAAGAAAAAAAAAAAATTAAACTTCTTTATATTTTACTCTAATTGAAAGAATAATGAATAATACAAAAAATGTAAGTTTCGTTTTTTTGTTTTTATGGATTTAGCTTCGGATAGTAATTTGGGAAGAAGGGTGGAGTCAGGTCATCTTATTGGTGGTGCACCACCAGGTGTCACCGGTATAACCGTGGATAAGTCGGTGGAGTTCACATACGAGGAGCTATCCAAGGCTACTGATGAGTTTAGCATGGCTAATAAGATTGGCCAAGGTGGTTTTGGAGCTGTTTATTATGGAGAGCTTCGTGGCGAGGTTTGTGTTTATTATTATTATTTTCTTTTTAGGGAGAATTTCATATATGCCCTTCTTAAACATCAAAATATCATATTTACCCAATTTAATTTCTAAATATCATATTTACCCTTTATAAAATTTCTAAATATCATATTTACCCTTCATAAAATTTCAAAATATCATATATGTTATTTTTAAACATCAAAATATCATAAATGTCCTTTTTAAATATTAAAATATTGTATATGAACTTTTTAAATATCAAAATATCAATGGTAATATCTAATAAAACATCCATCTACAATATAATAATAATCAACAACAACAAAAACTAAACAAACAAAATATGCATTCCATAGAAAGGGTTGAAGATGAATCGTTTTGTCTGTCAAGAGGCTGGCATTCCAACAATTTAGAAGTTCACATTTCATTATCATAGACGTAAGGATAATATGGTTAAATTTCTTAATTATTATAATAACTCTAAGGTATAAAAATGATTATAAAATATTATAAATATTATAAAAAATGATTTGGGTAAATATGATAGTTTGAAAGTTTATGAAGGGTAAATATGATATTGAGAAATTAAGCTGGAGAAATATGATATTTTGAAGTTTAAGAGGGGCATCTATGAAATTCTCCCATGTTTTTATATTTTACCATTTGGATAAAGTGTAAATTACAAGTTTCTATCCTTTTGTTGTGTTGTTTTTTTAGGATATGGTATAAAAGTTTTATTTTTTTCTTTTTGGGTCCCTAAATCAATTTTTTTAAACCCTTTTCCTCCTTGAGTTGTCCAAGTTAATAGTCGGTATCATTTCTCCTAAATTTTAGGGATTAAAAGGATTTATCGGACCACAAAAGCATCAAGTGAACATTTGTACCATATCGAAAAAGTGACATAATACAAAGATGGAAAACCTTGTTTAAAAAGCATTTGAGAAAATGACAAGGTAATGAGATGAAAAAACAAATTGGCCAACTTTGTAAAAATTTAGGAATTAATGTACCATTTCCATGACTTTATGTATTAAGTCATTTTTCTATATAAAGTGAAAGGACACACCCATATAAGTCATATCCTTATTAAATCCATCAGCCAAAAGAAAAACAACATGTTTATATTTTTGCTTTGGGAAGTTGATATTGTTTTGGTGTTGGACAAGTACAGAAAGCAGCAATAAAGAAGATGGATATGCAAGCATCAAAAGAATTTCTTGCTGAGTTGAAGGTCTTAACACATGTTCATCACTTGAACCTGGTAATATCTCAAAACTTGTGCACATTTTATTATTCTTTTTGTGCCTGTTGAGAAATTATATAGAAACGTAATGGTTTCAAAACCGATTGTCGAATGCTTTAACGATGTTCTTGCATTGTTGACCATGAATATTGTCACTCCTTGGTTTAGGGCATGGGTAGGGTTGTTTAGTGTAAAATACATAAAGCAACTAAAACGACCCTACCCATATCCATATCCATAAAAAGTGCAGAAAAGGTCATCCAACTTTGTAATCTGTGTGATTTACACCAAATCCTGCCAAAATTATGCTAAAAATGTTTAAATGATCATTATGCCTTTCAATTTCAATCTTGAATTTCAAAGTCAATGAATGGAAATTTGTCTTAAATTCGGAGGTATTTTTTTTGTAAAACATATAAATGCCGTATAAATTTGTCCTATTTTGTCATGTGCAATTTGAAATATGTATTTACGACCATTTTGAACTTTGCAGGTACGTTTGATAGGATATTGTGTAGAAGGATCGTTGTTTTTGGTGTATGAGTTTATTGAAAATGGCAATTTGAGTCAACATTTGCGTGGTTCATTAGGTAAGGGAGTTACGAAAAAAAAAAAAAAACTTATATAGTTCCATGTTTTTAAAAAGTACACGTACAATACAACTATACATATACATATACATATACATATACATATACATATACATATATACTTGTACTTATCATGTTTTTAACCACAAAATTGTAACCTTTGTAGGGAGGCAGCCAATTCCATGGGCTACAAGGGTACAAATTGCCCTTGATTCGGCTAGAGGGCTTGAATACATACATGAGCACACAGTTCCTGTGTATATTCATCGTGATATCAAGTCTCCTAACATTTTAATCGATCAAAACTATCGTGCAAAGGTTTACATTCCTATTACAACATTATACTTTGAAACCTTGAAACAACTCCTTGACCAAGATATTATTGGCTTCAAGTCACCAAAAATGCAAGAAATAGCAATGTTGTTCACATTTATTTGTTTATCAACTATTATAGTATTCTATTTTAATTTCCTCCTATTACAAATGCCATCCAAATACAAAACTAATGCTATTATTGGGTATATTTTTCAAAATAAATAAATAAAAAGTGAAACAGTATAATGTTGTAATAGATATACATGAAACTATGATGTTATGATAAACAAATAAATGAAAGTATGTTACAATTTCTTGCATTTACCATTTTACAAAATTCAAGTGAGAATGTCACATATTATTAGTTTTTTAATACTAAAAACACGTAGGTTGCTGATTTTGGGCTAGCAAAACTTACAGAAGTTGGGAGCGGTTCCTTACAAACCCGTTTAGTCGGAACATTTGGATACATGCCTCCAGAGTAAGTTTTGAGTAAATTTGTACACTAATTTTTCCCTAAAGATATAATGCGAAAATACATAAAGCACAACGTATTTTCACCATTTTATTAGTTTAATTAGCAACTTGTACTAATTAAATCATTATACATTTTTTTTATTGCTCAAGAAAACATACTTATTGACCCTATGTGGACTGTGGTCTGATTAAATGGAAAACTTTTGGTGCAGATATGCTCAATATGGTGAGGTTTCTCCAAAGGTTGATGTATATGCTTTTGGGGTTGTTTTATTTGAACTAATATCAGCTAAAGAAGCCATTGTCAAGGCAAATGAATTGTCTAGTGAGTCTAAAGGACTTGTCGGTTTGGTTAGTTCTTAATTTTTTTTCCACATACTTTGTTTATTCTTGACATTAATTCAATATTAACATTTTTCAGTGACATTATTTTTATAACTTTGTTTGTGTAGTTTGAGGAGGTCTTAAGTTTGTCTAATCCAAATGAAGCTCTATGCAAACTAATAGATCCGAGGCTTGGAGCTGATTACCCTATCGACTCTATCTGCAAGGTAAGTAAACAAAATAATCGCAATTCTGTTTACCTATTCACAAAATCGTTACTTTTGGTTATCGTGATTTTAAATTTCAAAAAGATTTCAAATACAAACAAAATTGAAGAATCTTATGTATTAATTTTAGGTAATGATGTCACGTGTACAAAAAGAAAATTCATATTTTATTTTATACAACAAGAAAATGTTGTATTTATTTCGATACATTTGGTAGTAATAAGTGGTGGAATTGAATAACTTCAAGATAAATAAATAAGAAATATGTGTGGAATATGAAAGGGATAAATTGTATGACATTGTGACATATTTATTTATCTCTATCAACGTAGGAAATGTATAATTTTTTGAAGGACAATAATAATGTATTTAAATTTATTTTATCCATTCAAAGATTTTTTTTATTACTAATTATAGGAATATATAACTCATACTAGTAACCTGCTTACATCTCTATATTGATAAATAATAACATTTTGCGTACGGATGATAACAATATGTAACAAATAAAATACATTACCCATATTGGTAGTAAAACATAAGTACAATGTTATTGTTGGTATTATTGGTGAAAAATGTATGTAAGCTATTATTATTTGTAAAAAATGTTGGTACAATGATATTATGAGAAAAAAAATATAAATACATTCTAATTATTGCTAAAAAATAAAGTGCATCGCCCATATTGGAAGTGAGAGTTAGGTACATTGTTACTTGTGATTTTTACAAGCTGGAACTAGAAAGCTATAAGTTTAACTCGCTAAAATCAAATTTGTAGATAGCCCAGCTTGCTAAAGCATGTACACACGAAAACCCTCAATTGAGGCCGAGCATGCGGTCGATTGTGGTTGCACTAATGACATTGTCATCTTCAACCGAGGATTGGGACGTTGGTTCTTTCTATGAAAATCAAGGTTTGGTTCAACTTATGTCAGGAAGGTAGTATAATGTTGTTATGCCACATAAGCATCCAAGTCATACGAGGTTGTGCCACATAAGCAACTAGACATGGTTTGATAGAAACTAGTATAATTCCATTTTCTTGTATATTTCTTTGAATTTAATGTAATTAGTAGTATAGAGTTATACTTTTTTTTTTTTAACATCAATAATAAATGTGTCCAAGTGTAACATCCCAAATTTATAGAGTAAAAATTTCATTTTATATATAACAAAACATACTAATTTTATTCTTAATAGAGTAAAATAACCATAAGTTCAAACATCATCAATAATGGGCCAATCCCAATAGACATATAAGTGGCCCCAACCCAACAAACATATAACGGCATAAAAGCAATAGTTACAAAGGAAACAAACATAACATGACACCCAATGTCCTACAATATAGTGAGAAAACTCACATGATCAAAAGTTGAATGTTAAGCGTGTCAAAACTAACAAATAAAGGGGTAAAATAACTCCTTAAACACTACTACTTTGTACTAAAAATGTAATACAAGGTAAGTAGGATCGATCCACAGAGACATGAGATAAATGCTTATACCCTTTTGCACAAGTTACAAATGAGATCACAAAAACGAGGGGGGGGGGGGGGGTAGATGCAATGATTTAAATAAAGAACTGAAGTAATAAGTAAGCAATTGATTAAGTAAAATAAACTCAAGATTTGTAAGTACTCCAAATCTATGCAAGACTAATTAACAATGTGATTCAAAATATGAAATCATATTTGTTTAATTCTATCTAAGTTGGTATTAGAAATGCTAATAAGCTCTAGCAATTCACATTCACCATTTTAATTAATTAAAATAAGTCCTTTAATTAATTCTAATCTAACTAACCTAATCTAAACAAGTTCTTAGAATAGGTGGAAAGATTGCATTATGAAAGTGTGAAATTTACCAACAACATTCAATACTTCTCATAAGCTTGAAAGTGTAAGAATGTATGAATTTGATTTACACCAGAATAATTTTAAGAAAGTTCAACCTAGTATTCTTTACTTGTTCTATATGACAAAACAATTACATATTTTTGCATATTAGATAACTTGAATATATCAACCCTAACTCAATTGGCCAAAAAGAACTAGAATTGAAATCAAAGCTTCAATTAAAACAAAATCAAATTCACTACATATCATTTAAAACAAACACCAAGTCAAATGATTGAATTCAAACACATAATTGTCAATACATGAAGTTGGAGAGTTAAGTTTCTAGCCTCTCATGACTATAACAAAGAACAAACCTAGAAGTTGAAATTAAAGTCTTACAAATTAAAATCCAAATGAAATCCAAGTGTTTTCAAGCAGCAATTACCTTCAAAATACTCCTCCAAATCGCCTCCAGAACTCACAAAATCGACCACCCCTTTCTTCTGGAACCGGTTGCTTCTTTTTAGAAAGGAATTAAACTATTTTAAACTGACAACCTCGTTTACACAGCCCGTGTAAACTAACCCTACCATTTACACGGCCGTGTAAGTACAAAAAGTAGAATGCTCAATTTGGCCAGGCCTTCAAAGTTCGATGCTTGATAGAATGCGTTTACACAGCCCGTGTAAACACAAGGCTTGCATTTACACGGCAGTGTAAATCTTTGTAAAGCTAAAATCTTCATTTTCTTGATATCTTCCTCCTCGACGCTCCACAAGTCCTAAAACTTCATCCATATCTCTTATTCATCACCTCAACTAAGATCGTACCTCCAAAGTCCCTGAAATATCAGAAAAGTGTTTGAATGGAATTGCATCATGAAAAATCTTGAAAAATATGCAGCATGCATGAGTTTAAACCTAAATGCAATGCACTTTTATGGAGTAAGACTACAAAAATGGATGCATGAAATGCACCTTACAAATCTCCCCAATCTTGAACCTTTCTTGTCCTCAAGAAAGAACAAGAAAAATATAAACACGATAAAATAAAATAAAGGAGAAGAAAATAAAATCAAAGTCAAAACTTTTCGAAACTTAATGAAAGAAATAAAAAAAAACATGAAAAAGAATCCAACCAAATCAACCCTGTTTTTGTACCATAGTTGAGAATGTACCTGTCGTGGCTTTAGTCTCAAATTATGTAACATCCGAAATTTGTGGGTATGTTATGTTAATTATTTAGTCATTTAATTTTTGGAGGGACTTGACGAGTTGGTACCTCAACTCATCGAGTAGGTTCGTGATTTTTGACGCGTTTTAGCGATTGGACTCGACGAGTCGGGTATCTAACTCGACGAGTCGGTGCTGACGGGGAAAACCCTAATGTCTCGAGTTTAGGACCTATTTAAAGGTCCTTATGGCCTTCATTTGCGGCCACTTACACCCCTGAGAAACCCTAGAGAGTGAAGAGAGATTAGAGAGCAAAGGAAAGGCTAATTCATGATCCTTTTGGTGTGTTCTTGAAAGAAGGAGTGGGAAAGTCCAAGCTAGATCGATTATGGAGCTTGGATCTATGTTATTCATACTAAGATTAGCTTCTGGAGGTACAAATCCTTTCCTATTCCGTGTATTTGATAGATTGCTTGAATCTAGGGTTTCTTTGCATCATTTTGGGTTGGATTATGAAGCATGTGATGTCCCAAGGTGGTGTAGATGTTAGATCTGGACCATGAAAGGTCCAAAGAGTCCTAACCTCCCAGCTTTATGCTGTTTCATGAGAGTTTTGAGAGTATGTTACCATTTTGAGGGTTATTTCTCCATTTATGGCTTTATGTGTGTTGCATGAACGTAAAGTTTGAACCTTTACGTGAATTTTGAGTGCTAGAATGTTAGATATATTAGTTAGAGAAGTAGACCTGACCTCAGAAGGTCGAATGAGCATAACCATGGAGGAAACTCGCCGAGTCCATGAGAAGACTCGGCGAGTCGGGTCGGGTTGCCCCGCGAATCGACACCAGTGGTGACCTGATGAGTTTGAGGGTTGACTCAGTGAGTCGAGTGAGACCTTAGGAGGAATATAAGTATGCGCATGGACTCGCCGAGTAGTCGCATTAACTCGACGAGTCTGGTCAGTATGGAATGTTGACTTCAGTTGACTTTTAAGGTTTAGTCAACCAGTGGACCTTTGGACCAGTAGAGGGGTGGAATGGTCTTTTACCCTTTTAGAGGTTATAGTAAGAGACTTTATTTAGCCTTTGAGAGTCGTTATTGATTTAGAGTAATTTATTTATGTGATTAGGCGGAGGCTAGATCAGTATTCTGAGTTCGAGACTGTTTGAGATTTCCTGAGGTGAGTCTTTTCACTATACTTACCTAGAGTGGTAATTAGAGTTGTGTGATAGAGTAATTTATATGCTATTTCTATGATGTGATACACTGTATTATTCTATGTGATATATGCCATGTATGATTCAGAGCTTACATAGTTAGGGCCGGGAGGTCCACAGAGTTAAGGTTAGAGGGTCCACAGAGTTAGGGCCATAGGGCCCACAGAGTTATGGGCCGGAGGGTCCCAGAGAGACACCTTGACCTAAGGGTTACACAGAGTTATAGCCTCGAGTGGCTAATATGTGTTGTATGTGGTACTTTGGGGAACTCACAAAGCATTTATGCTTACAGTGTTATGTGTTATGTGTTTCAGGTACTAACGAGGATCGCGGGAAGGCGCCGTCATGATCCGTACACACTGGTAGAGGAAATATTTTTATGATCTTGGGATATGTCTTTATCATGATGACATTTTTTTAAACATGAGATTTGATAATTTTGAATGAGTTTTATGTTATTTGAAAAATGAAAAATTGTTTTGGAAATTCTCATCGTCACAAATTATATAACAATAGAAATAAGACTTTAGCCACTCCCTAATGCAACTCAATAGAATCAAAGATCACAACAATTGTTCCCTCTCAATATCATCAAGTCAATTCATGGAACAAATTATGGTCTTACTCTTGTGAATAGAGTACTTGTGATTTAGGATCATAGGAGGACTTGGGGTGAATATCAATGCGTTGTGGAAGGTAGTATAGGGCCCGTACTACTGGAAACACTGGATCGGTGATTAGTCCAAGTAAAAATCCTTAGGATACTAAGGAACAAGTGTTGGATTAATGTACAAGTCCATAACTATAATTGGTAAGACTTGACCCGACCTGACATGGTCCATTTGGGTTGCATGGCATCGGGACAATTGGATAGACAAGATGTGGAAAAAGGATACTAGTGATTTATATTAATATATTATAAGTTCTAATATATTAATATATAATCATATTATTTAATTAGTATTGATCAAGAATTAATTTGGAATTAATTAAGTGATCAAAAGGAACTAATTAAATATGGACTCTTAGATATATATGTGTGATGGGCCAAGTTCATTTAGGTTGGGCTAAGCTTTCATGGATAGTCCATGGAGTGTTTAACCTATGGATCATAAGAAATGAAAGGTCATGGGTATTAGGGTTTAACCTTAATCTCCACACTATATAAAGATGTCCTTGGTTGGTGAAATTGACACAAGTGTGGGTACACTAAGAGGGCTAGTCGATTTCACTTGTGAGAACCAAGTATCCTTATTCTCAAGGTTATTCCAAGTATTCATGGTGTTGTGTGAACCATTTGAGGTGTCACACTTGGGGCACTTGGAACTCAAGCTTCATGAAGACAAGTTACAACAACAAGGTATGTATTCTATCTAGTTTTTGTTATCCTAGTACATAAGATTGTATGCTAGTTAGGGTAATATCTTGGAATATTCATATTTGCATGTATAATAGAGAAAACATAGATCCAAGGTATTTAGGGTTGCATTTACACTTAGGAGTGTTAGAATGCTCAAAACCCAACAGTGGTATCAGAGCCAGGTTGTTTTCTGTTATATTGATGCAAATGTTTTATTTTCAAAGTTGAAAAAAAGGGAAAAAACATGACGTTTGTCAAATTTTAAGATAATTACTTGTTTTTGTGAAAAAGTAATTATTTTTAAAATTTGAATGATTTTCTATATGATTTGAATTATGTCAAATTTAGTAAAAGATAAAATGATATGATTATTTTATTAGTTTTAACCGTTTGATCTAAAGAGTGTTTTTTTAACCTCCATAAGTTATGGATATGAAAAGGTTTTAAAAAAAATTAATTCAAAGTTTTTTTTATGGAGTTACAAAATTTGGTGTTAATGTTTTAAAGAATTCCATAACTTATTCTTAAGTTATGGAACATGAAAAGTTTCATCATAAAACA